ATTGAATGCTGTTTGTTATCTCCGTATCCTTCGACAAATGTGAAAAAAATATTAATAGCAGGTTATGTGAACAAATCATCCTCGATACACAAGGCAAACATTTCTGGTCATGAAGAAGGGCGTATGGAATTTATTCAAAGTGATTCAGGTATAGTTACTTGTATAATAGGAAAAATATTGAAGGGAAGAAAACCTTCATCTTCAGCAAAATATTCATACTTTAAAATCAAGATCGCAGTTAAAGTAAATATTCTTTAAGCCATTAAACACATTCTAAAAATAGTGATGTAAGTTTTAGTTTTATTTTTTATTTGAATAATAAGGGTTCATGTATGCACAAACGAACAGATTATTTGCTCATATGCCTCTCAAAACTGTCTATCAGCATATTTATTGTCGTTTCATTTATCTTATCTGAACATGTGACATTCACATATGTATATATCTTAAGTATTCCACTTTGCATAAAGGCCAAGGTTAAAGACATTTACCTCACATTAATTCACATTTTGTCATAAAATAAAAAAATAAAATTTTCAAATTGTACGTGCCAATTTCTTCAGAAAAAGTATGATTTCAGTTGTAAAGAAAATGTAAGTTAGACATTTTAACTTGATAATTCGTTTGAAATCTAACTTCTCATTGAAGTTTAGTTAGGATTCAACTGATTTCAAAAGCAACCCTGGATCATACAGATAATGTGGCAGCTATTCTTTTTTATATCTTTACTTAATATTTTTAATTCTTTTATTTTTGAACCCTTATCATTAGAAGCATTTCAGCAATTTTTACAAAATCTATTTTTAACAACTTACAGTGATTTTGTTTTCCATAGTCATGTAATATACACCTCACTTAAATCAAAAAAAAAAAAAAAACACCACAGAATAAACCTTGAGTCACTCTTGTTGTTTGTACATTTTCAGCTTGCAGTGTAAAAAGGTCTGTAGATTATGATACAATGAAAGAAGAAGACAAGAATTGTCAAGTCAATTCCACGGAGAACCAAAAAGGTATGATGATTTAAATGAAGCATTTTGTGTTTTCTCTATCAATAATTCAAGATTTGAATAATTAAATGGTTAATGCAATTAAGAGTTATATGTCTCTGGTTCTTGCTAAAAGAATGTTTTACCGATTAGTTATTATATATTCAAATTCTTACAAATATGAAAAAATATGAATAGCAGGTCATATGAATGAATCATCCCTGACAAACAAGGCAAACAATTCTGGTCCTGAAAAAGGGCGCGTAAAAATTAGTTCAAAGTGATTCAGGTATAGTTATTTGTATAATAGGAAAAGAAGGGAAAGAAAACCTTCATCTTCAGGAAAATATTCATACTTAAAAATCAAGATCGCAGTTAAAGTAATAATTGTCTAATGCATTAAACACATTCAGAACATAGTGCTGTAAGATTTAGTTTTATTTTCTATTTGAATAATAAGGGTACATGTATGCACATACGAACAAATAATTTGCTTATATGCTTCTCAAATCTGTCTATCAACATATCTATTATCGTATCATATATCTTATCTGAACATGTGACATTCACATATGTATATATTTTAAGTATTGAGCTTTGGACAAATGCCAGGGTTAAATTAAAGACATTTATCTCACAATAATTCACATTTTGTCATAAAAAAATATGTATCAAATTGTACGGGCCAATTTCTTCAGAAAAAGTATGATTTCAGTTGTAAAGAAAATATAAGTTAGACACTCTAAATTGCTAAGTCGTTTGAAATCTAACTTCTCATTAAAGTTTAGTAAGGATACAACTGATTACAAAAGCAACCCTGGATCATACAGATAATGTGGCAGCTATTCTTTTTTATATATTTACTAAATATTTTTCATCCTTATATTTTTGAACCCTTATCATTGGAAGCATTTTAGCAAACTTTACAAAATCTATTTTTAACAACTTACAATGATTTTGTTTTCCATAATCATGTAATATACACCTCACTTAAATCAAAAAAAAAAAAAAAACACCACAGAATAAACCTTGAGTCACTCTTGTTGTTTGTACATTTTCAGCTTGCAGTGTAAAAAGGTCTGTAGATTGTGATACAATGAAAGAAGAAGAGAAGAATTGTCGAGTCAATTCCACGCAGAACCGAACAGGTATGATGATAAAATGAAGCGTTTTGTGTTTTCTCTATCAATAATTCATGATTTGAAGAATTAAATGGTTAATGCAAATAAGAATTTCTTGTCTCTGTTACTTTGCTTACAGCATGTTTTACCGATTAGTTAATATATATTCCAATTCCTACAAATGTGAAAAAAATATTAATAGCAGGTCATATGAACGAATCATACCTGACAAACCAGACACACATTTCTGGTCATGAAGAAGGGCGTGTGGAATTAGTTCATAGTGATTCAGGTATAGTTACATGTATAATAGGAAAAAAATTGAAGGAAAGAAAACCTTCCTCTTCAGGAAAATATTCATACTTTTAAATCAAGATCACAGTTAAAGTAATAATTCTTAAAGACATTTAAGAAATTCAGAACATAGTGCTGAATGTTTTAGTTTTATTTCTATTAGAATATTTAGGGTACATGTATACACATACGAACAGATAATTTGCTCATATGCTTCTCACATCTGTCTGTCAGCATATTTATTATCGTATTTTATATCTTATCTGAACATGTGACATTCACATTATGTATATATTTTAAGTATTGCACTTTGCACAATGTCCAGAGTTAAAGACATTTATCTTAAAATAATTCACATATTGTCATAAAATAAAAAACAATGTATCAAATTGTACGTGCCAATTTCTTCAGGAAAAAGTATGATTTCAATTGTAAAGAAAATATCAGTTAGAAATTTTAACTTACTGATTCGTTTGAAATCTTACTTCTCGTTGAAGTTTAGTTAGGAGTCAACTGATTACAAAAGCAACCCTGGATCATACAGAAAATGTGGCAGCTATTCTTTTTAATATATTAAGGAAATATTTCTCATCTATTGAGTATTGAACAACTAGGATTAGAAGCAAACTTTACAAAATCTTTTTTAACAACTTACAATGATTTTGTTTTCCATAATCATGTAATATACACCTTACTTAAATTAAGAAACACCACAGATTAAAAATTGAGTCACTTGTTGTTTGTACATTTGCAGCTTGCAGTGTAAAAAGGTCTGTAGATTGTGATACAATGAAAGAAGAAGAAGAGAAGAATTGTCAAGTCCATTCCACAGAGATCGAAAAAGGTTTCTATTAGAATATTTAGGGTACATTTATGCACATACGAACAGATAATTTGCTCATATGCTTCTCACAACTGTCTGTCAGCATATTTATTTTCGTATTTTATGTCTTATCTGAACATGTGACATTCACATATGTATATATTTTAAGTATTGCACTTTGCACAATGTCCAGAGTTAAAGACATTTATCTCAAAATAATTCACATTTTGTCTTAAATTAAAAAAAAATGTATAAAATTGTACGTGCCAATTTCTTCAGAAAACATATGATTTCAATTGTATAGAAAATATAAGTTAGAAATTTTAACTTACTAATTCGTTTGAAATCTAACTTCTCGTTGAAGTTTAGTTAGGAGTCAACTGATTACAAAAGCAACCCTGGATCGTACAGCTAATATGGCAGCTATTCTTTTTTATATATTTACAAAATATTTCTCATTCTTTTATTCTTGAACCCTTATCATTAAAAGCATTTCAGCAAACTTTACAAAATCTATTTCTAACAACTTACTGTGATTTTGTTTTCCATATTCATGTAATATACACCTCACTTAAATTAAGAAACACCACAGATTAAAAACGGAGCCACTCTTGTTGTTTGTACATTTCCAGCATGCAGTGTTGAAAGGTCTATAGATTGTGATACAATGAAAGAAGAAGAGAAGAATTGTCAAGTCAATTCCACGCAGAACCGAACAGGTATGATGATAAAATGAAGCATTTTGTGTTTTCTCTATCAATAATTCATGATTTGAAGAATTAAATGGTTAATGCAAATAAGAATTTCTTGTCTCTGTTACTTTGCTTACAGCATGTTTTACCGATTAGTTAATATATATTCCAATTCCTACAAATGTGAAAAAATATTAATAGCAGGTCATATGAACGAATCATACCTGACAAACCAGACACACATTTCTGGTCATGAAGAAGGGCGTGTGGAATTAGTTCATAGTGATTCAGGTATAGTTACATGTATAATAGGAAAAAAATTGAAGGAAAGAAAACCTTCCTCTTCAGGAAAATATTCATACTTTTAAATCAAGATCACAGTTAAAGTAATAATTCTTAAAGACATTTAAGAAATTCAGAACATAGTGCTGTATGTTTTAGTTTTATTTCTTTTAGAATATTTAGGGTACATGTATACTGATACGAACAGATAATTTGCTCATATGCTTCTCACAACTGTCTGTCAGCATATTTATTATCGTATTTTATATCTTATCTGAACATGTGACATTCACATATGTATATATTTTAAGTATTGCACTTTGCACAATGTCCAGAGTTAAAGACATTTATCTCAAAATAATTCTTATTTTGTCTTAAATTTTAAAAAAATGTATAAAATGTTACGTGCCAATTTCCTCAGAAAAAGTATGATTTCAATTGTAAAGAAAATATCAGTTAGAAATTTTAACTTACTGATTCGTTTGAAATCTTACTTCTCGTTGAAGTTTAGTTAGGAGTCAACTGATTACAAAAGCAACCCTGGATCATACAGAAAATGTGGCAGCTATTCTTTTTAATATATTAAGGAAATATTTCTAATCTATTGAGTATTAAACAACTAGGATTAGAAGCAAACTTTACAAAATCTTTTTTTAACAACTTACAATGATTTTGTTTTCCATAATCATGTAATATACACCTTACTTAAATTAAGAAACACCACAGATTAAAAATTGAGTCACTTGTTGTTTGTACATTTGCAGCTTGCAATGTAAAAAGATCTGTAGATTGTGATACAATGAAAGAAGAAGAAGAGAAGAATTGTCAAGTCCATTCCACAGAGATCGAAAAAGGTTTCTATTAGAATATTTAGGGTACATTTATGCACATACGAACAGATAATTTGCTCATATGCTTCTCACAACTGTCTGTCAGCATATTTATTATCGTATTTTATATCTTATCTGAACATGTGACATTCACATATGTATATATTTTAAGTATTGCACTTTGCACAATGTCCAGAGTTAAAGACATTTATCTCAAAATAATTCACATTTTGTCTTAAATTTTAAACAAATGTATAAAATGTTACGTGCCAATTTCCTCAGAAAAAGTATGATTTCAATTGTAAAGAAAATATCAGTTAGAAATTTTAACTTACTGATTCGTTTGAAATCTTACTTCTCGTTGAAGTTTAGTTAGGAGTCAACTGATTACAAAAGCAACCCTGGATCATACAGAAAATGTGGCAGCTATTCTTTTTAATATATTAAGGAAATATTTCTCATCTATTGAGTATTGAACAACTAGGATTAGAAGCAAACTTTACAAAATCTTTTTTTTAACAACTTACAATGATTTTGTTTTCCATAATCATGTAATATACACCTTACTTAAATTAAGAAACACCACAGATTAAAAATTGAGTCACTTGTTGTTTGTACATTTGCAGCTTGCAATGTAAAAAGATCTGTAGATTGTGATACAATGAAAGAAGAAGAAGAGAAGAATTGTCAAGTCCATTCCACGCAAAACCGAACAGGTATGATGATAAAATGAAGCATTTTGTGTTTTCTCTATCAATAATTCATGATTTGAAGAATTGAATGAATAAGAATTACTTCTCTCTGGTACTTTTATAAAAGCATGTTTTACTGATTAGTTGATATATATTCCAATTCCTACAAATGTGAAAAAAATATTAATAGCAGGTCATATAAACGAATCATTCCTGACAAACCATGCAAACATTTCTGGTCTTGAAGAAGGGCGTGTGGAATTAGTTCAAAGTGATTCAGGTATAGTTACTTGTATAATAGGAACAAAAGAAATACGTACGCTAAGTCCTGATTCCTGCCTACATTTAACACCTATGTAATTCAATATTTATGACAATGTGGCCATAAAATCTTCGTTGAATGAAAAGATCTATTCATTTTTTATTGATTGATAAGTTTAATACCAGTGTAAAATTGTTCATTATCCCTTATTCTAGCTCTTTAAAAAAGGGGGGTAGACGATTTTTTCTATTGAAACCGGGCTTTACACCAACACCGTATTTTAAAATATTTTCGAATGTGAATAAATGTTCCTTACTTCTTTTCTTTCGTTTTTAACATATGAATTTAAACATATACCATTGATAAAATGCTATACTTTAGTTGTTAACCACTTTGAAATTGGTGAAAAACTAAAACTTTCCCCATTTTTTGTCAGTTATCATATGCCCCCCCCTCCCCCGGTGAAACACAAAAAGCTTTGGTATGAATTTTTGTGAAATAGCAGTTTATATTACCTGTATTAAGGAATTTGTGTTTCACGGGGGTGGGGGGGGGGGTGGGGGATGGGGGGAGAGATGTTTTAAAAATATTTTCCGTTTTTCGTTGATTTCTATAGTGAAAAACGCGAGTTTTACCAAAATTAAAGGGTTATCTTTCTTTGCTTTTCCAAATAAGTAATGTTTAATGGAAACCCATGTAAATATTCTTATGAATATGGAAAAGCATCCAAATATATTAACTTTTGAAAATTGACTTGGAGGTAGGCGGGAGAACAATACTCCCGTTCGTAGTTCTTGAAGGAAAGAAAACCTTCATCTTCAGGAAAATATTTATACTTAAAAATCAAGATCGCATTTAAAGTGAAAATTCTTTAAGACATTTAACAAATTCAGAACATAGTGCTGTATGTTTTAGTTTTATTTTCTATTAGAATATTTAGGGTACATGTATGCAAATACTAACAGATAATTTGCTCATATGCTTCTCACAACTGTCTCTCAGCATATTTATGATCAAATCATATAAATTATCTTATCTGAACATGTGACATTCACATATATATATATTTCAAGTCTTGCACTTTGCACAATGGCCAGAGTTAAAGACATTTATCTTACAATAATTCACATTTTGTCATGAAATAAAAAATATATATATATATATATATCAAATTGTACGTGCCAATTTCTTCAGAAAAAGTATGATTTCAGTTGTAAAGAAAATATAAGTTAGAAATTTTAACTTACTTATTCGTTTGAAATCTAACTTCTCGTTGAACTTTAGTTAGGAGTCAACTGACTACAAAAGCAACCCTGGATCATACAGATAATGTGGCAGCTATTGTTATACCCCCTCTTGAAAAGCGGGAGTATATATAGTAATCATTAATCCGTCTGTACGTCTGTCCGTCCGTCCTTCCGTTCGTCCGTCTGTCCTTCCGTCCGTCTGTTACGCTTTGGCGTACCCATATCTTATCCGCAACTCCTCTCATACCACTGAATGGAATTTGATGAAACTTTCACAGAATCTTTATTACATATTGCCATTGTGCACCTTCTATTTTACTTTTTAATCCGTCATATATTATGGGTTTCCGGCCACAGCAATACATGGACTTTGCAATTATAACTATATGGAGGGAGGCGGGGGTATCATTTAGAGAGCTCATCGCTTGCAGTACCTCTAGGTTTTAATATATTTACGAAATATTTCTCATCTTTTGATTTTTGAACCACTATGATTAGAGGTATTTCAGGAAACTTAAAAAAAATCTATTTTTATCAACTTACAGTGATTTTCTTTTCCAAAATCATGTAATATACACCTTCCTCAAATTAAGAAACACCACAGATTAAACACTGAGTCACACTTGTTGTTTGAACATTTGCAGCTCGCAGTGTTAAAAGGTCTGTAGATTGTGATACAATGAAAGAAGCTGACAAGAATTGTCACGTCAATTCCACGGAGAACCAAAGAGGTATGATGATTTGAATCAGGCATTTTGATGTTTTTCAATCTTTTCTTATCCTGACCTACTGTTTTTATTAACATATAAAGTTTCCCATAATCGTGTTGTGTTTGTTAAAACAATGTACAATCGATCAATCCATCATAGGATGTTTAAGTATTTTTTTCAAGTAAATTGTTATATGCAAAAAAATGACTCGCCATGGATTCTATTTTCTTGTCGCATATCTGCGGTGATTTTCTTTGATCTTTCTGTGGTGATATATTCCATATCACATATGCGATAATACTTTCCACGCCCCTTCAAATATCACTGCAGGAGGCAGAAATCAAGTCATGAGAAAAAAAACTGATTTTATTTTACGTTATTAAGTTCATAACCACAGAAAAATGAACATGTATAGCTATTTCTTAGCCTTTAACTAAATTAAAATACATGTATTTAACTCGGTTGAAAGTTCCCAGCTGCAGTCGTTCAAAAGATTATTTGAAAGTTACGGTAAAATCTCCAAAACTTTTTATCGATAAACTCCTAACTATTTGTTTCTGTGATTTCATATATGTCGAGTGCCTGGCTTAAAAATAAATTGTCAAAATCTTCAAACTCAGTTAAGAACTCAAAGTCAATTCACTAAGAACGTCCGACATGTTGGAGAGCTAGCTTGAAATGAATCTTTTTTTATTATTAAATTTTTACACTCTCAATGAAATTTACGTCATCAGATATGCGACAAGTTGCTTACATCATAGATGCCTCGTACTATTGGTTATATCGTTTTCATGGGGCAAGGAAATCTCGGGCGCTCCGCGCCCTCGATTTCCACGCCCCATGAAACGATATAATCAATACTACTCGGCTTCAATGATGTAATCTATACATATCATTTTTTTATTATCGTTTCAATTGTCCTTGAGCGTCTTGAACAAAGTGATAGATTGATTGTATATTGTATACGTCCCTATCGAGAATTTTTCACTTATATGGAGACGAGACCACTTGCCGATGGAGAGCTGCAAATTGTTTCCTATACTCGGCACTCAGGACCATTGAGCAGGGATGGATCTTTTTTCCTGCAAGCACCTACTGCGACACGGGACCACGGTTTATAGTTCTCATCTGAAGGACCGGTCTCTAGTTCCCACAGTGGGATTCGAATCCTCGACGTAAGGATAGACTCCTTATTTTGCGACTATAGAGCCGCGCTGGCGACGAACAAAATGAAAGAAGACAGAGTTTTAAAAGATTAACCTCGGATATAATTTAAAAAAAAAAATAACATATTTGGTTAAAACATACTTTTTTTTTAATTTAAATTCACAGAAGAAAGTGCATTATCGGGAATGACAAATCACAATAACTTAATAATTGATTTATTTCATTTGTTTTTATATGCCGATAAAGAACTTTTTCAGTTATACAGAGATGCCACGAAATGTTATTGAAGGGCTTCGAATTTTAGTCCTGTTTTTGACACCAGGATATGTTTATTTTATTATATTCACAGCATCCAGTGTCAGAAACCGTTTTCATTTTGAGGAATTGAGGGAAACATCTGGAGACAATAATGTTGATTTCATTAGCAAAAGAACCGGTGAGACATGTAATCTATTATCAAATGTTTTTCCAAAGTTTTATCATAGTTTCTATTGTTCTTGAGCTTGCTTCTAGAACAATTTGCCGTTTGGAAAAAATTTTGAAAGACAAACTTTATATACGATTTATAGATTAAAACCTGTACTTGAAAGGAGGATAAGGAGATAACGAACAGTATTCAATATGAAAGTCCATAAAACAATTAAAAAACAGTAGCAGGGCAAACAGGGACCTCCGAAACATCAGAGGTGGGATCAGGTGCCATGGAGGAGTGAGCATCCCCTGCTGACACGTCACTACCACCTTGTGCTCCTTGTCATGATCGGGAAATAACGGAAAAATCTGTCGTCAATTCAATGTATAAATAATGGACTAACAATTAGTATGAAAAACGTCAGCGAATGGATGTAAAGAAAAATTCACATTGTCGAAAGAGATTCGAAATGAATTTTTTTTTTTTGGTTTGGTTTTTGGCGTAACGTACGTCGAAATTCCTTTACTCATATGTTACACCACACTTGCTGGTAGAGAGATGCAAAAGTTGACTATGCTTGTTATTTAGGGCTATTTCTTTATTGATTGATTGATCGTTGTTTAATATCCCTCTCGAGAATTTATCATTCTAAGGGGACTTATCAGTTGCCAGTTGAGGGCTAAAAAGAGCAAGAGCCATCTTATGCATAAAATGGCCCTGTACTTATATCAATTAATTAACTATCACCCTCTTTCCATTTTCATATATCAAAATAAAGTAGACACTTGGGGCTTTCATGTTCTGTAATGAAATTTCGTTTTGAGAATCAAAATATTTGAAAACAGGCTTTGAGAAATTGCAATGTTCTTGATATTTGAAGAAAATATGCGTATTTGACTACCTTCAGCAAAGAACTAAATTATGAGCACAGTCCACGATCCAAAAAATAAAATATGTTTTTTGATCTTCAGAAATAGGCCTTTCATAATGTATTGGCATATTTTGGATCAGAGGTTGTGCTCTATATGAAATATTGAAAAAATGCTTCAACTGTAGGTTATTTTCAAAGGAATTTACAGGATATGCAGAAAATGACGCATTTTATGACGTCATAATGCATTGACTAGATGTAAAATTACGTCACAGTTAATAGATACGTGGTCACCAACAGTCCAAGTGATAAATACTGCATTTGCAACCTAAACTGAGCGGTTTCGAAATTTTAAGAAATTTCCAGGGCCAAATAAGGCCCAAAGTGGCTCTACCTCTTACTTAAATAGGACTTATATTTTGCACTTACGGCCATTAAGCAGTGAGTGATCTTTTTCGTGCAACGACCTACTGCGACTCGTTTTTTAGAAGGGGGGGGGGGTTGTTTAGTGTTTTTTTTTTCAATATGTACTTATTTTTGAAAAAAATGTGAATGATTAACATAAACAGTAAACAAAAAGTAGCTAGCAAACACGCCTTCAATTTCCTTTTGTCTCATTTTTTTTTTTTATTTAATCTCCATTACAAGTAAAAAAATAATTAAATCTCTAACATTTTGCTACATGCGTGTTTGACTGTACGGTTTACCTTATATCAAGCTTTCCAAAATGTGTTCAGAAAAATTTTCAACAAGGGTCATATCAATCATATCAATCAAAACATCCCTGGTAAACCATGCAAAAACTTCCGGTCATTAACAAAATTTGTTGAATTAGTTAAAAGTGATACCTGTGTGTTTATGAATAGAAAGCTGTTTTAGAAAGGAACATATGCATATCCGACAAATATTTCCATATTTAAAATCAAAATCATAGTTAAAGTAATGATACGTTAAAGCATGAAGTATGTTAAGATATAATGAGTCATAGCATACTCCTCTATATTTAGTTTTAACATTAAAGTAAGGGATTATTGCTTAATTTTAATAGTGATGCTGCTTTTTTTTGAAAACGAGAAATTGACTTTAAAAGAACGTAAAATACTTTTTGTTAAGGTCATACATATTCTAACATGAGCCCATTTCCTGGAAACTTTAAGTTATAAAAGTATGCGAATACGATGCAAATGAGCAACACTTTTAATTTGAACTAGAGTACGCTCTTGCGATACTAAAATTTGTTAAAGATTTCCATGCTGCCCTAATGTAGATTTTCAAAAGAATTCCAATAATTTCCTCACATAACTCGAAAAGTGTGTCTTGAAGTTTTGGAATATTTTGGAATTTGAAAAAGAATTGGACTTAGACATTTTTTTTGCTTGGAAAGTAGTGGAATTTTTGGAAAAAATTACAAAATGAGAAACTTTGCCATTTTCTGCGCTGATAAACTGTAGAAAATTGCTTAGATTTGTTTAACTGTCGACTTATAATACAATAATATCGGGATCGAAGTCGGGCTCGATGAACAATTAACATTAACAACATACCGAAATTCAAAAATATCGAATGCCCACTCTCTACCATCGGCTCATACATTCACCTCTGGCGTGGCTCGCGTATATCACAGTGATAAACACAAGAAATAGTGCGTTTGTTTTAATTAATTATAATTTAATTTCTATGTTTATATCTGACTTTTGAGATAAATATTTACTAAATTAATCCAGAACTATTAATTCATTTTAAAACAATCCTGCAAATATCACGTTTTATACGTTATGTCAAAAATCTTGACACGAGCCCATCGCAGAGGTGTCTGAGAGAGGAACGAACGACAGCTCTGCATTGGAGATTTTCGAATGCCATGTTGATGTTGTACAGAAGGAAAGTTGGAATGATATTGTCAAGAACAGGGGATCATGATTAGCTTGGAATGGAAAAAAAATGAAGACATTTTAAAGACCGGTAGGTACAATATTGTACAGTATTGTAATTGTCCTTGAATGAAGAATACTTTAAATACTTTTGCTACTTTTGATTTATCCGGACACCATGATACATAAAAATTAAATTTAAATGCCCGACGGTGCTATCGTAAGGGCAAGCACTATTTCTGTATTAATTATTTAACAAATCTAAACATATCATTAAGGTCAAGGATTTTGACCCGAATTTCCTTGTCTGAAATCAAACTGATGCAAAGAATTTTACCTGTTCCTGCCTTTGTTTAAGATAACATTTACAGAGTATGATGTAATTGTAATTAATAAAATATTATGTAAATGCATGTTCGTGACAATTTTCAGCTCTTATCTTGCATGTTTTGATTGTTTTAATAATTGCTGCATTGCCTGAGATGATTTTCACAGCCCTGGCGTTCGATAAAAGTGGAAATACATGTAGATGCTTAATCAATCAGTCACTAGGCTTGTGAATATTGTGAGAACCAGCTTAAATTATCATTTAAAACAAATAAAATAACTTTGATTTTATAAATCCATGTATTTTAGCATAAGATTAAAAAAATATTGCAAATTTAAACAACATTTAAAGGTTTATATTCTTAACATGCTTCATTTCCATATCCTAATTATTTATAACAATTAATTCTGAAAGGTAATCTAAACATGCTAACTGCACGGGTATGTATAATTATTTTAGATAAAATAGCTATCATCTTCTAAGAAGTATACATGGTTTTTACAGGAATCCGGATGCGCACAAGATTTAGGACAAGAGCTGTATTTAAAAAAAGCGGTAAGATTTCTTCATTATTTTCTTAATCATTTAAATCACATGAATTGAAATTATATTTTTTTAATGTTAGTCAGGCATTAAGCTTCAGCTATAGCCTTTTCATTTTAGCTCACCTGCTTTTTTTATCAGTGTCACAGTTTGGTGTTTGTCTGTTCCTATAAACTTTTCACATTTTGACATTAATCATGTTTATCAGAATTAATCTAAATTTGAACAAAAAATTTCAAGATAGTGAATTCATATTCTACAGTAAACTGATCTGCCAGGTAGAAAGAACCAATTGTTTTGTAGAGCTTTAGTATATTATTTGTCATATATCTATATGGATATTAATAATGATACATCTTAATGGTCTTCTCCTCTTTCAGAAATTGTGCAAGGAAAGTTTGAAGTGTCTGTTGGAATGATCAACAACAAACTTGCAGAGACTAATATTGAATCCGTTTGTGACGCCAAAAATATGTCAACCCTCTATTGCAAATTTCATGTGATTTCTGTGAGGAAGTGATTCTAGCAACATGTCAGAAGTTTTGGATCTTCCACAATTGGGATCATTGGCACGTACATGGGAGGAAAATAGCAACTGTTGATTTAATGGGATCCTTGTATCAATGTAGTTGTGTAGTACATATAATTTTGCATTTTATACATGTGTTTGTCACTCTACTCACTAACTTTGTACAGTAAATTTACATGGGCCACTAAAAATTTATTGTAAATGTATATCCTGTTGAGGTTTCAATGACCTCTCCTAATCCTTGGCCAATGTCATTTAATGAATCTAACCTCTTATTTAAAAAAAAATGCAGACTTTAGTTTACTACATACATGTATGTCATAACTTGATAACTTATTTAACTAAGGCGATCCTCCAGTAATCATATTTTTTCTTGGATACATTTTTGTTAATAACTTTTGTTGTAAAATACTTTGAAGTTTCAGTGAGAATACATGCATTTTAAAAAAAGTGTGCTTATATTGTACATCTGAGAGGTATATGCTATTATATTTGTCTCAAAAAACTTTGTAGAAGAAACAGTGATTTTTTTTTGGCAAAAATATATTTAATCTATGAAAAATTGTGATATCATCACGTTTTTTGTAATTATTTGGTACTAATACAGTTTTCATTGTATTTTCCTGGAATTCTACGGATTTCCATGGAATTCCTTACATTTACAAATAATTTGGAATTCCACGGATTTCCTCCGCATATTTCTTTCTGGCATTGTTCCTTTCTTTTCCTGGCTAGATTTTAAATTCCATACCATTTCAGAAAAAGGTCCGTCCCAATACTCTGAAGAATTCCGTGTTTTTTGCGGAACAAAAATAACGTGGAATTCCATGGGATTTGTTTTGGAATTCCGTGGATCTTGCAGAAAATCTATATTAGGGTGTA